GCACTGGTGACTTCATGTGCCTGTGCGAGTCGTGAAAATTATGAAAATAAATCTAGGAATTATTTGATTGTTGGATTTTAAATCAGCGGGGTTGAGGCATCAAAAGTAACTAAGCTGTTTTATGGATGGTAACTGTAATATTATTACTGAAATCTTATTAGTAATCAGTTACACTACTAGTTACTGCAAAAAGTAATATTATTACAGTAACTAAGTTACTAGTTACTGCCCAAGACTGGTTATGTTACATACAAAGGCAACATGATAAATGTTATACACCTAACAAATAATAAGGTTTACATCCATATAATCGTGGATATCTGCTAGGTCTTCCTCAAAATACTTATTAGACATCCCAAAACAAAAAGGCACCACCCTGTAACCTGATGTAATTAGCTGTCTGAACATGTTTAAAATTGATTTATTGCTTTATTTACTTTTTTCCTACTTTTTATTCTACTTTTTACTTTTTTATTTCACATAAAATATATTTTTAATTTGATTTATATGATTTTTTTTAATCATTTCACATTTTACAAACTTTATTTTTTAATGTAACCTTGCTGTTTGTTTTAATCCACAATTTTTTTGCAAAGAAGAAAAACTTTACCTTTTATTGTAGTTCTTTGAAGAAAATTCTTTGTAAGTTTCCTCTTGTTTCTGGACGTAGTCTTTTCGCTTTTTCCTTAAGTTAGTCTCCCACCTTACCAAACGGTTACCTCTTCTGAAGATGGTGTGATATGAGGATGCTTTTGTAGAGGAATGCAATGGGAGGGGTAGAAATGACAGAGGCAGGTTGGTAAAGAGGAAAAGGCCAGACTGGACTTGTTCTTTTTCTCCCTGCTGCTTTCATTACCTCTTTCTATTTCACCTTCAAAGTTTTTATATGGAGAAGGTCCATCTTTGATATTTTTTCTTTAAAAAAAAAAAGTGTTATAAAGAATTAACTCAGGTGATAAACTAGTTTTGAAATACTTTTTTTTTTGATTTTTTTTTTTGATGTGTTCAAAATGAATGGTATTCATACATGTACACTTATATTATCATCACATACATCACATTACCATTCCATTACTGAATGGAAACATTCGTTCTTGGAGGTCGAACATCATGAATCATGATGAATACTATGAATCATAAAGCCTCTCAAACTTCTGTCATTATCGTTATGACATCTCAAAAACAACCTCACATGCTCTCCTCATAAGCTCTGCCCAGTAACCGTCGAAACCACACATGACGAATAGATACTGTCACAAGTTAGAGTGGGTGGGCTTTAAATTGTGAAAAATCTGATTGTGCTAAAGTGGAGCTATTGCAAGTATACTTCAGGTACCCTTTAAATATCTTGCATTTAAAGACTGATATTATACAGAAATAATTCAGTTCTTATTAATAATGATATTAAAACATATTTTAGGCATAATATTAAGAAATGTGCATTGTGCAATATAGAAATACTCCAAATAAAGTTTAATTATAATTTTATATCAGTAAGTCTTAAGTGATATGTCAATAAATGGATTTGAGTATACTTAGTATGAAATAAATGTATTTTAAATAAATTATGACATAAGATTTTTTACTAGGGGTTTTAAGAAACAAAAATAGAACCAGAAGAAGCAAGGGTTTCAGAAAGATCACGAGATGACTCTGGTCTCTTTGTCATCAGGTTTTTTTGTTTAGTTAAAAAATTGCCGAGGAGGCACTTCTGATGCTGGCAAGCATGTACTGGTCATCGGGAGCACTGATGTGACACAGAATTGTGTTATACAGCCAATACATCATTTCAAGCTTGTCAGTTCGGCACCATAGTAATTTACCTTGCAGTTATTAACACTGTACAAATAGCCTATGGTGTTTTGGCAGAAATGTTTTTATTATAAATGTTGTTTATTACTTATATTAAATATTGGGGATTATATTACTTTTATAGAACATGTTTTCTACATGTTTAGGTTTTTTTAATTACAAATTCCATAGTTTATTATTACTTATTATTTATTTTAAAAACCATATAACCATGATAATGAGGACCATGGTTTTCCTTGTTGTGACCTCCATCTTACAAATACTAGTCAGTTAAACTCTGGATTCTATGCATGAACTATAGTAAATTTCATTAGGGCAAAGGATAATTTAGCTTTAAAGGAGACATATTATGCCCCCTTTTACAATATGTAATATAAGTCTCTGGTGTCCCCAGAATGTGTCTGTGAAGTTTCAGCTCAAAATACTCCACAGATCATTTATTATATAATTTTGAAAATGCCTATTTTGAGAGGAAGCAGAAACACGCGGTTTTTCGTGCCTGTCTCTTTAAATGCAAACGAGCTGCTGCTCCCCGCCCCCTTTTCCAGAATAGAGCTG